AATACAAATACAACTGCTACAATACTATCATGTGTACTATGCAGAATCCCCCCCCTTTTTAAAGAATCATACATTACCCGTTGTCCCTAAAAAAGATTTTCTTTTTCCCATCTTGTTTTATACCTTTATAACTTTTCCCCCCCTTTTCCCTTTCTTTCTTGGCCCACCTAGACTTTTTACCCACTCCTCTCCAAACCTCTGCCTTCTTGGCTTCCCCTTTCTGTTGCATTCTTCTTTCCTTTTGCTTTCCGGCATTATATTGTTTTTGCATCTTATTTTTCTCTTTCATAGATATTTTTTTATGTCTTAAGCCCTCCCTTTTCCCTCCCCTCTTTCTCCTTTCTTTCTTAATCACACTATTTTATTCATTAAAAATGGCTTCTTCTTCCTCTGCTTCTTCCAGCTGTTGTTTAATTTGCTGACACATAGCAAGCGCCATATCTAGAAAACAAAGGGCTTCTCCCATAGCATCCTTGCCTTCTTACCTTATTTTTAGATATTTTTTTTAGTTCATCGAGAGGTAGAGCCATTATAAACTTTTTCTTCTTCTTTTTCTGTATCTTCTTCTTGTTAGTAAGCCAATCAAGTATTTCCAAACTTTAAAATCCCAAAGTCCCAAAGTCACCAAACAGTCCAGGCAAAGCACAAACTTCTTCCTTTTACAGTTTCTCTTCCTGGGGTAAAGTCAATTAGGGAAAAAAAAAACCCAATCTGTATTTTAAATCTTTTTTGCAGTTAGCTTCTAATCTCTTTATCTTCAAAGCATCTCCTCCAACAAGGTCTTAATATAGATTTTTTTCCCCAAGCCTCTCCCTTCCCACTTGTAACAAAGGGCTTTAAATTTTTACCTTCTGTTAGAGAGCAGATTTTCCATGTCCATTTGTTAGTTCCATAAGGGAGGGAGAGTAACTTTATATTTCAACACTTTTCTTCCCTGCTGAGAACCTCCATTAGAAACATTGTAGCATCCAAAAAGAATAGTAATTTTCCAGGTATTAGATATGTCCTTAAACTCCCGGTTCAGCCAAGAAAAACTTTCATTTTAAAACTTCCTTCTTCTTCCTCCTGCACATTCTTAATCCAGTTGCCGGCTTCTTCGTGGCGGCCATTGAGACTGTCGCTCCACCCCCTTAAGAAAAGGGGGTTATTGCCGGCTGGGGAGGGGGGTCTGCGATACCCCTCAACCCCTGTCCGGATGCCCCCTATCTTCAGCTACCCCAACAGGGCAGCCTTATCCTCCAGATCCGTCAGGATCAGAGGCACCAAGACGGCTAGCACAGCAGGGATCGCAGAGAAAGCGAATCCCTGCTGTCACCGAAGCCTGGCAAACCGGAAGCCTGCTAAGTGAGGTGTTTGTTCCATGAATTTTGCCCCATCTTGCAACCTTCCTTGCTACAGTCATTAAGTGAATCACTGCAGTTGTTAAATGAGTAACATCATTGTTAAGTGAACCCTGCTTCCCCATGGAGGGTCATAAAAGGGGATCCAGGGGACCCCGGCATGCTGCGACTGTCACAAGATGAGTCGGTGGCCAAACACCTGGATTTGGCTCAGGGGACCCTGAGAGGCTGCAACGGTCATAAGGGTGAAAAAGGGTCAGAAGTCACTGTTTTCACTTCTGTCTTTCAACAGTCACTTAGTGAACTGTTGTAAGTGGAGGACTCCCTGTATTGAGAAGTAGGGAGGGAGAGAGAGAGAGACCTGACTGGATTCCCCTCCTGCCCAAAGAAGAAAATCATAGATTTGGGTGGATTTCCTGGGGGGATCAAAGGAATCCCAGATCCTGGACAGGAGGAGAGTTCGGATCCTGGGGAGAAGAGGGAGATTCCGGAGCTCTGAGAGGGCAGAAGGAAGAAGAACGAGGCGGAACTGTCACCAAGGAGGAGAATCCCCAGGGGAAGCCAGGAAAGGAAAGGAGTCCCAGCCTCCCGCTCCCAGGGAAGAAGAGACCCTCCCCCCCCAGGACTCACCTCTCCGGCCAAACACTTGCTCCTCCCTCTTGGCTGCCTTGTAGCTGCCGATCTTGTAGTTGTATCGGCATAAGGAATCCACTCTGGCCTTCTGGTACTGCAGGCGCTGCTCATCGCTGTTCCAATAGTCCACATCCACCTTCCCAAATGCCGTGATGGCCACATATCCCCCGAGGTCGCTGTCAAACTGGGCAAACTCCTGCCCGTCATAGAAGTACCGATTCAGGTATCGCACCCGCTGCGTCCCATTGAGGAAGAGGCACTCGACCTTATGCTGGTGCAGGAAATGGGCTGCCAGGAGGAGGAGGAGGAGGAGGAAGGCCATCAGAAGGGACTCCAGGGCCCATCGCTCCCAGCCACCAGTAGAGGAGTAGGAGGAGGGTCCCATCAGGAAGAGGGGAGGGTGGGGGGGTACTCTCTCACTCTCAGGGGGAGGCAGACTAGGGGGTAGGGAAGAAAGTGGGAGGGGGATTCTTTCAGTCTTGGGGGTCTGCATTAATCTCGGGGGTCTTTCCTGCCAGCAGAAGGCTTTGGGGGGGGGCAACGGGGAGAGGGAGGCGCAGAGGCTGTAAGGGATCTTAGAGCTCTTCTAGTCTGACCCCCTGGCCAAGGCAGGAGCCCTTACCCCACCCTGGACAAACGGTTGTCCAGCCTCTTCTGGAAATCCCTCCTGATCCCTTCCAGGGGGATCCACCTTCTCCGGGCCTCTGTCAGCTGAGCTGTGATCCCTGGAGTTCCCAGCCAGTAGGAAAAGTGGGATCCCCTCGAGAAGGAAGGGAGGGCGGGGGACCTTCCTTTGAGATACTGATGGGAGGCGCCCCCTGGAGGAGGAAGAGGGGACTGTCTCACTCTCAATGGGAGACAAACTTGCTGGAGGTGGAGGGGGTGGGAAGAAAGGGGGAGGGGAGGAGCCTCCTTAAGGACCCCTCCTCCATCCCTTGGTGGGGGAGGGCAGGCAGAAGCTCCACTGGTGAGCAGATCTTCTCTCTGCAGGGATCTCCAGAGGGAGGAATGGTGGAGGGAAGGTAATATCCACACCTCCTCCTCACTCTTCCTTTGCGGGGGGAACGATGGGAGGGCCACTAGGAGGACATCTAGACTCCCACTTCTGAACTCTCCCAGCCCTTCACTCTCCCTTCCCTGGATCCCCCCCCCCCCGCAACTTTACTTCTTCCCCAAATCTTCAGCCCTTTTCCCTCCCTTTGGGTGACTGTCACGGATCCCCATCCTGTTTCCTTTCCCCCTCCCCAAAAGACCCCTTGTAGCCCCCCAAGAGCCTCTCAAAGGGAGGGTCTCCAAACCCCCCCCGCTCACTAAAGGGTGAGAGACTTTCGGAGGAGCAACTCAGAGCCCCCCCTCCCTCCGTTCCCCCCTCCCCCTCCAGGTCCCCATAGAGCCAGTGCGGGATTATGGGGGTGGGGGGTTCTTGGTCCCCCCCCAAATTCAGAGCCTCCCCCAGAAGGGACCGAAGCTCCCCTCTTGCCTGACCTCCAAAGCCTCAAATCTGAGATTCAGAAGAAAAAGCGAAGTTTCTGCAGAAGCCAAAATTCTTTGGCTCTTTTTCCTTCTGGGGCTTCAGGGCTGAAAATGCCTCAGTTTCCCTCTTTCGCTTTCGCTTTTCCTTCCCTGCCTCTTTCCAGGCAGCCCATTCCCACCCAGACAAGTGGGGGGGGCAGAGAGGGGCCCGGCTGAGACCCCCACCTCGGCTACAATCGGGGAACAAGGGAGGGGCCGCTCTCCGTCCTCCTGGGGGGGGGTCAATACGGGTACGGAACGGGAAGGAGACCACGCAGAGATCGAGGCTGTTGGAGGCTCTGGAGACCCATCAGTTTCCTTTTCTCGCCTGGGGGGTCCTTCCCACCCTCCTCCCCGCCCAGCCCCCTCCTTACCAGGGGTCTCCTTCCCCCCTTCGCTTCTGGGGATCCGGCCCAGCGCCCCCACCAGTAGAACCAGGGGGCGCCCAGCCCAGCTGGAGACTCAGCCATGGGGCGGAGGAGGACAATCCCTGAAGAATCGAGGCTTGTTGCCTGCTGGATCCTGCCAGTTCCTCAGTTCCGCTTCGGAGAAGCCCAAAGCTTCAGGCTGGGGAAGCGGAACCGAACCGGTTTTGCGGCTGATGGGGGTTGGAGGAAGAAGCTGTGTGGTGTGTGTGTGTGTGTGTGTGTGTGTGTGTGTGAGAGAGAGAGAGAGAGAGAGAGAGAGAGAGA